TTCACTAGACCATCGGGCTAGTAACTGAGGAAAACCACTAGCCCTGACACTGACAGGTATCGTTTTAAGCACGAACACCGTAATAAAGATTCGATGTTTTGCCTTGCACTACTGACATTGTGACAATCGTGCATTTTGTAATTACAAATGTGACTTATAAGGCAGAAAGGTGTGAAATGATGTCATGTAACTATGTGCGAGTACTATATGACCAATTCTAACACGACCAGTCGGGCTACTAGCACTCTGGTTGTATGCGACCGGACCAAGAATTTACCCGACTAGGTCGATTGGACGTGGGTTAGTGTCGAACCCTGCAGACATGATCATACTGTCACTTCCACTGGCGCTCATAGGGTCTATGTCTCCCAGGGTACTGCCGGAACGTACCCTGGTAACTATCTGATATGGTTAGGGTTAGAACTTAGGGAGTAGGCGTAGGCGACTCCCTAGACTCGTTAGTGGAGTAGGCGAGGTACGGTCCGACATATTAGATAGTACCGGCAGAGCATATAAATCACGTTGATTTATATCATGTTCTGGTACCAGGGTACGTTCCGGTATATTACCGTACCGTACCCAGGGTACGTTCCGGCAGTACCCTGGGTGACATAGACCCTCTCAGCGCCACTGGCACTGCACATGGTCATGCACATGTATGTCAAAATTAACAATGAAGTTGAGGCCTACTGAGGCTACTCTAATACTTACCGTTCCACCGATTGCACACAGCACCAGTAGGATATATGTCAACACAGCGGAGATCTTCGCAATCATTGTAACTTATTGGACGATCCGCTGTGATTAAATCTGTACTAAAGTTGCATAAGAGAGAGCATAACACTGCAACTATTTTCGACGACGTAACTCCGATCCCGACCGTATCACTTGTGATGCTCTCTTGAAATGTCGTAGAACTACTTACTTGGCGAGTATGCCTACTCGCGCACTACTTTCTTCATTAACTTCTTACAGATAGGGTTTTTTAAATACCTATGCGTAGTTATGACAGATAACCTACAACACCGCTGTTATCATGTATTGTAGAAACACCTAATTCATTATATATATTGATTTCGTGATTATAATAAACCTTTTGCAATATTATGACGAGGCGATTTAATACTCTCAAAATCGTGACGTGTGGTATCCCAGAAGGTAGTTCGTCTACAATATGGATGCGCCCATAACCGACTAGACGGGTTTAGGTAATAAATTAACCTCATAAATATTAGTCTTCAAAAGTACTAGGGACTATAACGAAGACGGAGAGAGAAGTGGATCAGATAATGTTTCATACAGTTTTATAGGTTTGAACACTTATTGCCGCTGTAATTTTTTAAGAGCCTTCGACTTCGTGGCCCAGTGGCAGTGGCAGTGGCAGTGGCAGTGCCAGTGTCACGGTCTGAGATTACCCCCAGTCTGAAATTACCCTAGCGCTACTGCGCATGCGCCACGCATGCGCACGAGGTGCTGGGTGTAAAGCGCAGTAGCAAAAATTAGCATTGGTTAACTGAGACTGCCACCGTCACAGCAGTCAGCGTCTTAACGCCATTTGTTTTAGCAAAGTTGTTGTATTACAGTATTAGCCATTTGTCAAAAATACGGACAGAAGCAGTTAATTTATTATTGCTCTTCGCAACACGGAAGTGACTATTAACGCAAGGTCGCGCCGTGTGGGCCAGCATTCAATATGGCTAATACGCACAGGCGGCCGTATGACCGGACTCAAATATGGGCCTAGGAAATGAGGCAGGGCGGGAGAAGGGCAGAAAGCTGGTGGAAAGGAGGAAGGGGAGAAGGAAGTAAGGTGGTGGAGAAGGAGGAGGGGAGAAGCTTGCGTGGAGAAGGAGGAGGGGAGAAGGCAGAAGGTGGTTGGAGGCAGGAGGCAGGGGGAGAAGCTGGTGGACGAAGAAGGAGGGGGGAGAGAGAGGTGGTGAGAAAGGTAGGGGACGAACTGGTGAGAAGGAGTGACAGGGGGAGAAGGGAGAAGGTGGTGGAGGGAGGGGGAGAAGGCTGGTGGCGAGGAGAGGGGAGAAGCCTGGTGGAGAAGGAGGAAAGGGAGAAGGAGGGGAAAAGGAGGCTGGTAGGAGACGAAGGAGGGGGAGAAGGGAGAAGCTGGTGAGAAGGGGAGGGGAGAAGGGAGAAGGTGGTGGATAGAAGGAGGAGGGGAAGAAGCTGGTGGAGAAGGAGGAGGGGGAGAAAGGAGAAAGTGGTGGAGGAGGGGGAGAAGCTGGTGAGAGAAGGAGGAAGGGAGAGAAGGAGGGGGAGAAGGGAGTGGTGGAGGATAGGAGGGGGAGAAGGGAGAAGTGGATAAGGATGGGGAGAAGGGAGCTGGTGGAGGAAGGAGGGAGAGAATGGAGAAGGTTGTGGAGGAGGGGGAGAAAGCTGGTGAGAGAAGGAGGAAGGGGCAGAAGAGAAGAGAGGTGTGGAGAAGGAGGATGGGGAGAACAGCTGGTGGAGGAGGAAGGGGGAGAAGAGAGAAGGCTGGCAGCAGAAGGGGGAGGGGGAGAAGGCTGGTCGTAGCTTGCGCATCTTCTCTCCACCAGCTTCTCCTCCTTCTCGGCAGTCAGCTATGCTCCTTCTCGCCGGCGACTCTCCTTCTGTCGTACAGGTCAGAGCTTCTCTGCCTTCGAGCCTC